GCCCCCTTCCGGGAAACCAGTCAAAGGCTGGGTTCATATTTGCTGTCTTCCCCTTAGTTGGAAATGAGATTTTGGTAGAAGACAGTCTTCGTCATTCCAAGCAAATGACAACCCGCAAGGGGTTGCTGGGTGTGCGTGCAAGGGGACTGGCTCGCTGTGTGGAGCGGTTTTAAAACTTTTAAAACTTCGGAGGCATCACTGTTCCTCACCTCACCGTAGTCTCAGGATGCCAAGGGGACAGCAGGGATCACTCCCTCCTATGATAAAGGAAACAGGTTGCAGAGATAAAGACTGCTTCCGGCTGCCCCTTTCCCCCCTCCAGGCGGACCTCATCCCCGCCTCTCTTTCCGCGTGCTTGCTAGTGGTTCCCGGAAGGCTGGGACCAGAACAAAGCCCTCAGAAAGCAGGACCTCATTTACATGGTCTGTGACCGTTTACCTCGAACGCAGTGTTAAGTCAACCTTCTAACAGTCGCAGAAGCATCCTCCCTATAGCCGGGTGGGGGCAGGAGGGTGTCTGGACTGAAATGCAAGCTCACTGACATGCCCTCCGACATATACAACCAGTTATCCTTCAGTTCAGATGAAAGGAGGGAGCTGTTTGCAGATGACTGACTAGGAAGGACTTGATTTTTTTTTCTTTTAAAGATTATTTATTTATTTGAGAGAGAGAGAGAATGAGAGATAGAGAGCACGAAAGGGAAGAGGGTCAGAGGGAGAAGCAGACTCCCTGCTGAGCAGGGAGCCCGATGCGGGACTCGATCCTGGCACTCGATCCTGGGACTCCAGGATCATGACCTGAGCCGAAGGCAGTCGCTTAACCAACTGAGCCACCCAGGCGCCCCAGGAAGGACTTGATTTGATTTAACCCCAAAAGAATCTCCTATGGGGATCATTAACTCTTTGAGAGCAGGCTTTTATATGGGAATTGGCAAATTCATGTTAGCTGCAACCAATCTCAAGAAAGGCAAAACCAATGTGGACCGACAAAATGCTTCCCCTTGAGCCACATAGACGTTAAAAATCCGACGGAACATTTTAAAATCATCTTGCCAGAGCACTAGGGACCTACTTTGTAGACACCCCAGGATGTTTTAAATCTGTTAATTTTATGGCTCACCTGTAACACAGCTAGGGATCTTCCAAATGGCGAAGGCTGGGAAGAATCGGGAGAATGAGTTCCTATCCTTCGTTATTCAGCCAGGAGTGACGCCAAGAGAGGCTCAGTGACTTACCCAAAGCCACCCAGTTTATGGGTAACCAAGGGGACAGGTGCGTGCACGTCTTTAGACCCCGTTGCACCAGGCTACGATCTGCCGTGATAACCATCCACAGGGTGGATCAAACAGGCGTCCTAGGTGCACAAGTATTTCCCTGTACAGGAATCAGGCCAAGGGGCCTGGGCCACAACTCAAATAACCCCATTCACTTTAATCTCTCAAAGATCCACTTTGTGTGGTCTGCCTCTCTTGGATACCACTTCTTATGGGAAGATGGTTCTCGATTTCAGGAGGGGCCCTCTCTAGCTATCTTGACATTTCATTTAAGTGGTCGTACAGCCATACATTCTAAAGTTGCTTAGAAAATTGTGTAGGACAGAAATAATGCTGTGAGGGGCACTGGGGTGGCTCAGTTGTTAAGCGTCTGCCTTCGGCTCGGGTCATGATCCCAAGGTCCTGGGATTGAGCCCCACACCAGGCTCCCTCCTCCGCGGGAAGCCTGCTTCTCCCTCTCCCACTCCCCCTGCTTGTGTTCCCTTTCTCGCTGTGTCTCTCTCTGTCAAATAAATAAAATCTTTTAAAAAAAGAAAGAATGCTGTGAGAATTATAAGACTCCGGCAACCCTCTAGGCCTTTACATGAGAATAAGCTTTTATTTTTCCAGCGTCTTAAAAACTGGGAGGGGCGGCTGGACTGGCCTTGGGGAGCAGGGAAGAGCAGAGCATGAGGAATCTACTCTAAGAAGCACGGAGGGAGCCTGGAGTTGTACTTGCTAAGGACCTCCATGGTAGGAAGAACTTCATTTAATGTGGCATTAGTTTATACCAGCAGACAACTGTAGTTTTGACATTTGTGAAAGTGTCAGATCAGAAGAAAAAACCATTGGATTGAATCTCTTAGTCCTCCCAACCTACCCAATGTAAACCTCCAAAACGCCAGGGAACACTGGACTATTCATTTGCCTTAAGATTGCCTGCATTTCAAGTTCACACTGGTTCAGTATCTAATCCCAACATTCCCAAGTGACCTGAGTACATATGTTTGAAACTTAATTCAAATACAGTTCAGCCTTGAACAACATGGGGCTTAGGGTTGCCGAACCACCCCCCCCCGACCCCGGCGCACAGTTGAAAATCCACATACAGGTTTGGACTCCCCAAAACCTTAAATACTAAAAGCCTACTGTTGACCAGAAGCCTTACCAGTAGCATAAACAGTCAAGTAACACCTATTTTATATGTTCTATGTATGATACGCTGTATTCTTACAATGACATAAGCTGGAGGAAAGGTTATGAAAACCATAAGGAAGCAACATGTGCAGTGCTATACCGTCCTTTATCAAAAAATATCCATAGAGAAGTGGAGCCCTTCAAACCCATGCTATTCAAGGGTTGACTGTACTTACTTAGCATTTTCAAGCACTTATAACGCAGAAAGGCAAAGTAGTTTTCAAGTAAGTGACTTTTATTTTTCTCTGACATTTCACAGTCAATTTCTACAAAACTTCATATTTCCTCAAAAGAATTCACATTTGGTAAATAAATCTCTACCCTAAAGAATTCATAGCAGGAAAAACACTTCAATATATGCACGAGAGTTACTTTTCTGTTGCACGAATCATAGTAAAGTCAGATAATACTATAATCAATAAAAAGCCATGAGTGTAATAAATTACAAATGTTATTAAACTCCGTTCCCATAACCAGTTCCATCAGCAGCTTTTTCTAGACATGTCTCACCCCTGCCAACAAAATCTGCCAGAAGTTTTAAGTGTTGGTCTGAACTAAGAATTGCTTCTCACTTGCAGAAGACGGCAGCTCTGCCGCAGTACTTCATACCAGATCAAATCATGCCCACTAAGACCATGACTACTTACAGCCTTGTGCAACCACCAGAGATCCTTCTGGTCTACTCCGAGGTTCCTCCATGTGCCGATCTGGCGTCTGGCCCCAAATGTCTGGGAGCCTCAGTGGACCTCTTCTTCCAAGAACTAGCTTCCCTAGTTGGCTTCATTTGCTTACAGCTCCACGAGGGAAAGAACACCCATGCTAACAGCCTAGAGAGACTTCCAGCACGAAGTCACACAATCAGAGAGAAGCCGGGGAGGTGCTGCTTCCCCTGCCACTCAGCAGTGCAGATCAATGGTGGCTTTCATCATCTTTTACCATAACAGGAAGGGAAATGCCAATCTTAATCTAGGAAGAAGAGTCCAAGAGGCTGATAGCTCCACAGAGGGTTTTTCCGATGGAATAAATTTGGTTCTCAGCAAGTATGTTCAGATTTTTGACACTCAGTAAGACTCATGACTGGCGCCCAGGCTGTTCTGAGTGCACCTGTCTCAGTAGCTTTGCTGCCAAATACGTTCTGCCAAAAAGGAAGCTTCCTAGCATGGTGCGCAGAGCAGAACTGTCGTAGTACCACACGGATTCAGGGGAGGCAAATGGAGTGGGCCAAGAGGAGAATATTCAAAGGAGCTGAGAGTCTGCTTAAAGACACATTTGTTGGGATTTTGAAACTCCTTCAGAAAGCAAATTGCAGGTGATAATTCTGCACTGATAGGAGAGTGCAGAGATTTTACCAAGCTCTTTCTAAATTGGTCATATCTAAATCATACATGTTTAATAACAAAGTGAGGGCAATCTGAAGCCTTGAAATTTAGAAACTATGTGACAGTTATAACTACCAGGTAAATGTGAGCGTTAGCTTCTGGCCCTGGTGAAACTTCCAGAACATTTTTCTTTGTAGAAAAGGTGAAGCTGGTCATACAGGATTTCTTATTAAGGTAATTTGCACAGAGATTTTCAAGAGGATGAAATTTTTAAATGAGATAAAAAGTCGGAAGTGATACTACTTAGAAATTCCATTTACCTTTACCATGAAGCTCAAAGAATCGGTATCATCTGGACATTGTATCACACCCTCCATTTCTAGATGAGCTTCAAACCACCAACCCTACACCTCTGGCTTTGCTGCCGACACCCAACGCACAAAGGAAACACAGAAGACTCTACCCCGCAAGTGCTCCACGTCACTGTGACATGCGACAAATGAAAACTTTGGAGAGGCAAAGAAAATCGGTACAAAGAATGGTTTCCAACGTTTTGGGCACTTCAACGTCATGATCTCAGGATGGTTTTAATTTGAAGTGGATCAAGCTTAGTGATCACTCCTTTCCTCTTTTACAAAAACAAAAGGGGATAAAAAGGTGGCAGCAGAGAGTTAACTTACATACATTCTCAGAAGCCACAAAGCTCTCTTTTGAGATGTTCACACATAAAACAGGTTGCATTGTTTCAAAAGAAGGGGCGGGGGCGGGGAGGGGGGAAGCATACATTTCCAGACTCCTCCAACTCCCAACCAAGAGATGCTGGCCATGTCTACTTTCTTCAGAGTCTAAGTCAAAAAAGCAATTCAGCAATTATAATTCCAGATGGTACTGAATCCATTCCATACTTTACAAATCTGAAGTATTTTGCCTACCAGTTTAAGTGAGGAGCAATCTGGCTTGTGATTAGAGTGAAAGAGTTCAATGGTGCGACCCTCCCGCCTCGACTTTCCAGTTTAGGAAGACAGAGCGTCACATGCTTAAGCGCTTGCACCCTCGGCCCAACCTGTGCCCGAGGCATTTTAGCGTTTGCCCAGATGGCACGATGCCTTGTGGAACGCAAGCACGCCTCCTCTTTCTCTCTGTGACTAAGACATTCAAGGGAAGCTCCACAAAGGGATCCTTCTGTCACCTACTGCCTGGTTTGACAGGTGTCACTCTGTGTGCTCCTCCCCGTCACTGTACCCTTGATCGCAGTGAGTGCATGAGACGGTGGGAGGTGACAGCCACAAGAGCCCCACACAACCATCTCTCCTACTTGGCCCCGCGACCCATCTAAGTGCCTGCAGGCTGAGGAAAGGGGCCCCGAGGGCGCTCCGAATCTGAGGTCCTCAGAGGGACGGGGACGTATGTAAACTGTGCACAGACCACAGGTTAAGACAGCGGCCGGGTATGGGCATGTGGCTTCCTAAGTGAACTGCCCAACAGTTTAAGTGTAGAAGGAAAAGCTCTTACATAAGCTTTGGGAAACAGGAGTAGAAACAGCCAAAGTGTTAAAAAGAACCGCTCAAGTGACAGCAAAAGCCTCCTGGGTTACATGTCTGGGTGGTCGGAGAATGCTTCCAGGTCACTGCCGCTTTGCCTAGACCCCGAGGTTAAAGAGGCCTGCAGCCTGGCCCAGGCCTGAGGAGCCCTGCTCTTGGTGGCCTCGATGAACAGCCGGGTCTGCTCCTTCAGCTGGTCTAGCTCCACCTGAGTCGCCTGGTTCTGACGAATCAACTCCTTGGTTTTCAGCGTGATCTCCAGCAGACCGGACCTGTGCAGGACGAGCAGGGTATTGTGAAAGCGCCTGTGCTTGCTCTGCCGCCGCTCTTCGAAGAGCTCGGGGCTGCGGCAGAGGCGCCCGGCGGCCCACAGGGGCGAGAGCGGGGAGCTGCTCTCGCCGCCGGGCGGCGTGCTGTCCGACGCGCAGACGGGACTGGCGGGGGAAGCGAAGGTCAGGCTGGGGGCTTTAGCCACGTGGCTGCTGGACACCGGCTGAAGAGTCTGTGGACTTCCGCCCGCCGCCAGGGAGGGCACGCCCTGCGGAGCGGAGTCCTCGGCCCGCTGGGCGCCGGGCGGTGCGGGCGCCGGCGGGCTGGGGGGCGCGGCGCCGGGCTTGGCGGGCTCCCTGGAAGACAGGCTCGGCCCCAGTCTCTCGGCACAGACTTTCTTCTGCATCCCGCTGTCTCCTCTCGCTTCTGTGCTGACGGAGAGGCCCCTTTTGCCTGGGTGGGGGGCGATTTTGGTGTAAGAATTTAGAATGGGCAGGTAGTTCCTGGAGTCCGACTTCTTCTCGCCGGCGTGACACGGGCTCGCGGGAGGCGGCGCGGGTGGGTGAAGGAACAGCAGCTGCGGCTGCGCCGAGATCACTTCGAAGGAGGGCTGGACGGTCCACGACTGGAGCTGGGATGAGCTGCTGCCCTGCGAACAAAGGAGAAGAGCAGCACGCTGCCGTGACCTGCCGGGAGGGGGGAGGCGCGGGGAGCTCCCGGCCGCCGCGGAGCTTGCCTCACTGGCGCGCTAGCCCTTCTCACGAACA